CCAGCATTTCTGCTGCCCTGGGAATCCTAGAGCATTTATAGCCCTGTGGGTACCCTCCACTGGGGGCTCGTGTACTCACATTTTAACACAGAGAAACCTTAAGGGTGCCTAGGTGGCTCAGTAGTTGAGCATCTGCCTTCGGCTCAGGTCGTGATCCCAGAGTCCTGGGATCAAGTCTCACATTGGGCTCCCCTTCCCCTCCCCTGCCCCCCCTCCAACGGAGCCTGCTTCTCCCTCTGCCTCTCCCTCTCTGATGAATGAATAAATAAAATCTTAAAAAAAAAAGAGGGAGAAAAAAGGCCTAGACCACAAAGACTACAGGTGTGGATACTCACAGCCTCTTCCAGCCCCAGCCCTCCGAAACTGGGAGTTTGCTACTCTATATTGAACACCTACTATGTGCCTTACCTACCTTTTCTCGTTTAATCCCTAAAACCACTGCATGAAGTGGGTTGCAGTGTCCCAAATCTACTGGTGAAAAAAATGAGATCCAGAGAGATCAAATAACTTCCCATAAACTATAAAAGATCTGGGGGACCAGTCTTGCCTGACCCCAAAGCTTTGCATATACACCACCACACTAAGCTGCCTCATCCACTCTCTCAGTAAGACTTAAGATTTTACAAAGCAAAGCCTAGCTCTTATCTTCCCAGACAATGCTGGTCTATCAGGTCCAGTTGCTGGGGTTGCCTCAGCAGCTTAGCCCAAAGTCAGCTGAGGGCTAGACTGAGTCACAGAAGGTCTATCAGAGGAACTGTGTACAGTCGGCAGACAGTAGAGACTACATAGGACATACAAGCAGACATTTGTATTATCTGCCTTTAGATTATGGCTCTCAGCTCTGACATTTCTTACGTATAATTGTGCCCACAAATCCAGTTTGATTTGCTGTTCTGCTTATTCACTCTTTGCATTAGAATTGTTTAGATTTGTTGGACCAACCAAACTTATAAATGGAAAATTAAACCAGAGGTGAATGTGCTTCATGCAAGGAATATTGATCAGAATAAGACGACACAGAGCACAGGCAGCCCTTTCAATATACAGCCAAAATTTCCCAGACTATTGACAATTTTCACAAAGCTTTTTAATAATTGTATGTCTGCTTTGGCTCTTCAATTGCCCCAACTTTGGGTGGTGAAATCACAGCATGTTATTTTAATGCCTTTATAACAGACTAGTTCAATTCAATTTTTTTTAATTTATTTATTTATGATAGTCACAGAGAGAGAGAGAGAGGCAGAGACATAGGCAGAGGGAGAAGCAGGCTCCATGCACCGGGAGCCCGATATGGGATTCGATCCCGGGTCTCCAGGATCGCGCCCTGAGCCAAAGACAGGCGCCAAACCGCTGCGTCACCCAGGGATCCCGACTAGTTCAATTCAAATAACCATGTCTCCTGAGTGCCCATGGTAAATGGCAGGAAGGGCTGAGAAGTGGATCTCACGGCCACACAGAACCTGAAAAGCCTGAGATATGTGCTCCATCTGAAAACCACAAAGGCTTTGGGGCCTGCTGCTCTCACCTCTAAAAACCAAGCTCCTAAAATCCAGCCCCCAAGACCAGCAGGATCAGCATTACCTGGGAAATTGTTAGAAATGCAAATCCTTGGGCTCTTGTTCAGACCAACCCCTGTATCGACATCACCTGAAACAGGGCTTGCCCATAATAGTCGCTGAGTACAGATGCCTTGTTTACTCGGTAAATAACACACAGAGGGGATGGGGAGGGATGAGTATCATGAAGAACCCAATGGCTGCCAATGTCACCTGCTTCACATTTGTCCAGGGGTAGCTTCTATTCCCCAAAATGGTAGCTTGAGCTTGCTTCAGAATGGGCTAAAAACACAGTTCTCTGAGCTGCACCCGAGTTTCCGAGTCAGCAGGTCTAAGCCAAGGGCCAAGAACATGCATGTTAACAAGTTTCCCCCACTGTTGCTAATGCAGCTGGCACAAGGACCACGCTTTGAGAACCTTCGCCCCAGAGGTAAGAATTACCTGTCTCCACTTTCTGCCTCCTTTTCTGGACTTAAGTAGTATACTTCTTTTTAAATCCTTTTCTCCAAACTTCTCAAACCTTCACTCAAAATACTGCCTAAGGGCTGATCCCAGAATAACTAAAACCAAAATGAGAATGAATTCCTTTCTCTTTAAAGGAACAGGAAGGAATCGACCTCAATAATATAAGAGGTACTTCCTTCATTCCAGAAACAGAAAAACAAGGATAGCACACAGTTTTTAGAAATTGGTGCTCAATTTTTTTTCTGGGCAGGCAAAGAACATGCATTCTGAATATCTGGTTCCTTTTCCAAAAGCTGCTCCAAAGCTGCTGGCAGCCTTTAGAGTTTACCCAGCCATGAGACGGCAGCACTAAGTTGGTGTTCGCACAGAATGTTATGCTGGGCCCACAGAGCCCCTGCCTTTCCTCTCTCTGGGTGACTTTCCAGATCAAGGCAATAAGCAATGGACTAATACGTTCGATGGAACAAAATAAGCCACAGTCCCCCTCCCAGAAAAGGTGGCATTTAAGAAATTTGTCCGGCAAATGCAGACCATGGAACACAGACCTGAAATGGAGTTGCATGCATTCCATTCAGTCCCTAAAGATGGAGCCTCAATTTCCTACACCCAAATTAGGAAAGAGAGGGCTGTTAATTGGTCATACCTTACTAATGGGAGACAATGGGCAGAATGACAAATCTGTGCCCACCTCCCACCCCCCATAATGTCTGGGACAAGTAGCCATCTTAGCTACAAGGCAACTGATGCTGACCTGAAATAAAAAATCAACTCAAAATGGATTAAAGGACCTAAATGTGAGATCCAAAACCATAAAATTCCTAAAAGAAAACATGGGCAGCAAACTCTTAGACACCAGTCTTAGTAATATTTTTTTGGATCTGTCTCCTGAGGCAAGGGCAACAAAAGCAAAAATAAACAAGAGACTACATCAAACTAAAAAGCTTTCACATAGTGAAGGAAACCATCAACAAAACAAATAGGCAACCTACTAAATGGGAGAAGACATTTGCAAATCATATCTCCAATAAAGGGTTAAAATCCGAAATATATTCAAAAACTCATACAACACCAAAAAAGTCCAATTAAAACATGGGCAGAGGACCTGCATAGACATTTTTCCAAAGAAGACAAACAGATGGCCAACAGACACATGAAAAGATGGTCACCATCATTAATCATCAGGGAAATGCAAATTGAAACCACAATGAGGTATCACTTTACACCTGTCAGGATGGCTAGAATCAAGAAGATAAGAAATAAGTGTTGGCGAGGATGTGGAGAAAAGGGAACTCTGTACTGTTGGTGGTAATGTAAGTTGGTGCAGCCATTGTAGAAACCAGTATTAGAAAATTAAAATTAAATTAAAAACTAGAAATACCATACAATCCAGCAATTCCACTTCTGGGTATTTATCCAAAGAAAACAAAAACATTAATTCAACAGGATAGATGCACCCCCATGTTCATTGCAGCATTTTTAATAATAGCCAAACTACGGAAGCAACTGTGTATTGACAGATGAATGGATAAAGACAATATAATACTCCTCCCCCCACCCCACCCCCATACACATGCCCACAGAGGGATATCACTCTGCCATTAACAAAATAAAAAATGAAATCTTGCCATCTGCAACAACATGGACAGTCCTAGAGGGATTATGCCAAGTGAAATAACTCAGACAGAGAAAGACAAATACCATATGATTTCACTTATATATAGAATCTAAAATATCAAACAAACAAAACAGAAACAGATTCATAAATACAGAGAACAAACTGGTGGTAGCCGGAGAGGAAGGGAGATGGGTGAAGTAGGTGAAGGAGATTAAGAGGTACAAACTTCCAGTCATAATATAGATAAGTCAGAAGAATGTAAAGTATGGCACAGGGAATAGAGTCAATAAAATTGTGATAATGATAGATGGTAACTACACTTATCGTTATGATCATTTTATAATGTATAGAAGCGTTTATTCAATGCTTCATCTGTGTGCTTCATCTAAAACTAATACAATATTATATGACAACCATACTCTAAAAAAAAAGTATATGGGGCTGCCATATACTCAGTCAGTTAGGTTTCTGCCTTCTGATCCCAGGGTTCTGAGATTGAGCCCTGCATCAGGCTCCCTGCTCAAAGGGGAGCCAGTTTCTCCCTCTACCTCTGCCTGTGCCGCTCTGCCTGCTTGTGCACACTTGCACGTTCTCTGTCAAATAAATAAATAATCTTTTTTAGGTGTATATATTTATATATAAAGATGCATTAGAAATTTTAGATCCTAAACAAGAGGAACACTGCCCCAAGATCTATTCTCTCATGATTTGCCAAAGTACGGTATACTGTAAGTTATAGGCATTATTTTTCCATGTCAAAAACAGGGATTCATGGTTTGTGAGCTATGAGGCTACTTTGCAATAAGCATGTATCAAACACAGAGACTCCCAGCACATCCAGAGTGTAGGGTGGCCACAATAAGTGTAAAACTGTTCAGAAAATGCAATTCTTCCTTCTTTGCTCAATCTCCCACCATTGTCACCTCTTCCGAGGCTTGGTCTGAATTTAAATCTATTTGGGGAAAGACTTTGCTTCACTTATATGCTTTCCGCCCAAATGTCTCAGATATAGTTACTCATGCTTCACATAATCCTAATGAAAATGTGGGGTTTTTTCCCTAGAATTATCTGGATAATTCCTTCCATTTTCCTTGGCATTGGAGACTGAAGCCCTAAACATTATAAGGCTCTTTCCTTCACTAGATCAGTTTACTAGGTCAGTTGTTCACTACATCTAGTTGTTCACAGTTGTTTCCAAACTTGGCTTATCATCAGAATAAACTGTCGAGTTTTGTTTGGTTTTGGTTTCATTTTTAAAGTATAGATTCCATGACACTGCCCAACCTACTGACTTAAAATCTTGAGGAGGTAGAAAGCTGGAAAGTTGTGCTGGTTTCCAACATGTGTGGGGAACAGTAACCCACCTGAGGGAGTTCCAATGATCAAGCAGGTTCAGAAAAGACTGCACTAGGAAACACACCTTTCCAGACTTCAGAGCTGCTTCTTCTTACCATACTCAGTGTCCTGTGGGACCACTGGGAAGGAAACATGGTGAATCTACAGGATCTTCTTACAGAGGAAGAACAGAAAGAGATTTTCCTAGAACCCAAGAGTGTCATGTGGGAGGATTCAAGCAAGCTTCAAGCAGGGACAGGGTCAGGGCCTCTCATTACCTGCTTCCAGTTCATCCTCTTCTAGTTCAGAATTTCCTTACTTTCTGTGGGCTTTGTACACTTGAGTTTACCAGATACAGTACTGCATGGCATAAAAAAACCATGAAACTGCTCTTCCCTGTCACTGTGTTCCTTCAGTCAAGTACATCTTCAAGGAGGCCTTGTAATCCATCCCAGATCTCTGGCAAAGGAACATGGAAAGGAAATGAGTGAAAACAAAGACATGAGGAGAGAATCAAGTTGTTGGGACTCTCTGAAGGAGAGAATCAATAACTCAGGGAGGAGTTCATCTTGTTTCTGAGGGTAATGGAACTGCCCGAGCAGCACCCTGAGGGTGTTGGGCTGGAGAGCCAACCAGCCCTCCACCAGCACTCACGTCCACAAGGAACATCTGTTCACACCCAGGCTACTGCAGGGAGATTTATTTCTATTAACTGGGGGAGGAAGAAGGCATTTGGTTGGGGTAGGGTTGAGAGAAGAGAGGAAAAATGGAAGGTTTGTGTTGGTAACTCTCACCCACTCAGCCCTGTGGTTTTAGTCTCTGATAATAGAGGGCACGGTCAGACGTTGGACACTCTGCTTTCAGGAGAGGTCTTTATAAAGGTTTTGGCAAAGCAATGCTGCTCTTGGATCCAGGTAGCACAAGGGTGGGTGGGAGACCTGGCTTAGTCAGGGTTCAATCAGAGAAGCAGGACCACTGTGAGTGATATGAAATAAGGAGCTAGATCTCACCTGGCTGTGAGAGGCAGTAGGGCAGTCCATGCAGGACATTGCCACAGATCAGCTAAATCAGTCATCAAGAAAGAAAACTGGATGTGGTCAATGGCAAGAACAACCTGGGACCTGCATCGGTCTCCCACTACCTCCTACCTTGATGCCTTAGGTGATATGCAGGAGACAAGGGGCCCCTTCACCACAAAGTTGCACATGGACCTGGCCAAGAATTCACAGAAGCAGCAAATGTGGTGGGACTGGCCCCAGCCCAATAGCAAATCAGTGATAAATGGGGGCAAGTTGCCACTCTGCTGTATAGACTAACAGAGTGGAAAAAATATGGCTGCTGCTTCACTCCTGCCCTCCAGATCTCACACAAAGTATCTCTTGTGAGCAAAACTAATCTGTGCTTATAAAAAGAAGAGAATTCTGTGAATGGAAAATCTTGCTTGGCTAAGTTTAGCTGACAATGCAGATGCACAACAAGATTTTCTCCCTGTTCTGGTACCTGGTTGCTCTGGGTACATGAAGCATTTCAAGAAGCGTGATGTGAACTCTGGAGTCCTCCCAGTGACTGAACTCCAAAACAGGTCCAGGACTGTGAATGCAGCTTCTTGGGTCAGCTTGCTGGGGAAAAGATGTCAAAATGTGTGTCTTGGGAAGGAAAGGAAGAACATGACAGACTGTTTGATGAACATATATGTATATATGAAAGCCCACTTGGAGATTCTCCCAGATAATTGGGGGGTACTGTGGGCAAGTAGGGGGTCAGAGAGTCATACCACTCTAATTTGCATATAAATGGAGATGTCACCCCACGTTGTATTCAGGGATGGGGATGCCTGGACAAGCTGGTTACACAAGGTAGTGGTATCTCATAATGAGAATTACATAAACTCATGAGCTAGAAAGGAATCGGGGTCATTATTTGCCTCTCCTCTCCCCTCCATGCGCATCTTCTGCTACTTGCAGGTTTCTAGACAGATCACACAATTACACGCTTTGGAATCTTTGCATTTGGTGTAGCCTCATTGTGAAGACTATTTCCTTGCCCTTCCTCATCCCCTTTCCCTCAATAACACAGACTCAAATTCCAAGTCTCAGGTCAAGTATCTCCTCTTCTCTGACTTCCAGGTAGTATCAGTTAAAGGACCCTCCCATGGGCCATCTATTGATAGCACCTTGATTACTTCTTCCAAGGCACCTAAAATAAACTGAACAATTTGATGGTCTTTTTTTATTTTAACCATTCTATTAGGTCTTTAGTGATACTTTATGGTGGTATAAATTTGCATTTTCCTAATGAAATAATGATGTCAAGCACCTTTTCATGTGCTCTTGTGCCATTCACATATCTTCTCTGATGAAATATCTCTTTAAATCTTCTGCCCATTTTTTAAATTGAGTTGTTTCTTCTTAAGTTTTGAGTGTTCTTCATATATTTTTGACACAAGCCCTTTATCAGATATAAAATCTACACATAGTTTGTCCCAGTCTGTGGTTTGTCTTTTTATTCTTTTAACATTGTCTTTTGAAGAGCAAAAGTTTTAACTTTGATAGAGACTAATCCACCAGTTTTTTAAATTAGTTGTATCCTTCCTTTAATTTTCTAGTGATCTATTCATCTCCACTGAACTATAAATTCTTTGAGGGCAAAAACTAACTTCTTCTATATCTGGAGTCCTAGCAATAGGACCATGATTAGCACTTAAGAGACACTGAAATTGTAGTTCTTAGGGCTGCATTATTACTCCTGGCTATTGTGGGAGAGCCGTTGAGCTTCCTGGCATCTTTATGTAATAACTACTCCTTTTTAAAGGAATGGAGGTTTTAGTCAATGTGACAACTTTTTCTAAGCAAGGACTGCCCTGGTAAGGCCTCTGTACATTTCCCTATATGTACATCTGTATATTTGAACAGAGAAGGATGAAAAACAGAAAAATCCTCTCCTGAAGGTCCTTCATTGGGGAATCTGCTTGCTTTCGCTTCTCATCTGGGAGAACTCTTTTTTTTTCCAGAATAAGTGAAGAAAAATCTCATAGCAGTCTCCCCATGGGCGTCACCAGGAAAGCAGTTCAAGTAAATTTCACCATGGACCTGCTATTTCTGCTGTAGGAAAGATGTTTAATCAAAGAGATAAAACAGGGCACCTGGATGGCTCAGTAGTTGAATGTCTGCCTTCGGCTCAGGACGTGATCCCGGGGTCCTGGGATCGAATCCCACATCAGGCTCCCTGCATGGAGCCTGCTTCTCCCTCTACCTATGTCTCTGCCTCTCTCTGTGTCTCTCATGAATAAATAAATAAAATCTTTAAAAAAGAAAAAAAGAGATAAAACATCTCCTCTATGTATAAAAAGAACCACAGCCTGGAAGTTCCCTGCGGCAGCCGCACAATAGCTGCCAGCCCCCACCACAGTCTTCCACAGATATCAACCCAGCCCTGAGGTTGGCTCCTTCAGGCTAACAGCAATGAAGGACCTATCTAAATATTGCTAGGATACTGCATTCACGAGAAAACAAGAGTTGAAATATTTTAAGAAGCATTTGTCTTGTGGTGCCCTGAAATATCTCCATCTTTCACAATTAAAGACTAAGCATGTATTCTAGTTCTAAAAATATAAGACTAAGAGGACAACCACTAGCAACAGAAAACATCTTGCTTCAAACACCAAGAATTGCTGATAAAGTATAATTTTAAAATGTATTAAGTATTTTATTAGGTTCACATACAAAAAAAAGTGGAAATTTCTAGGTGCCAAAAAGGAGCATGGAACAGAGTGATGGCTTAGAAGCTGATAATGCTGTGGTTGCCATAGAGTGAAAAACATAACAGCTTGAATTTTAAAATAGGAGACATGATGTTGGACCCAATGCAAGGTAAAGAGTTGGAAGTAAGAACTCTCAAAGTGGAACTCTAAAATGTGATAACCCTTCTGAAAAGATAGGCTACAACAAAGTCTATCAGAACAGATAAACAAGAAGTCTTGTCTGTGTCTGAATTCTAGATGAGCCAAAACAACTCTTTTAGGAATTAGAAATCCCAGACAGGCCTGGAGTTCAAATTTATCCACATTTTCTAGGAACTCCTCAGTGCCTGGGCCAGTGATAACTTTGAGGCTCTTGCTAAAAGAACAACCATTAATGCCACAAGGGATTCATGGAAGGGAAAAGGTTAACCTAAGATAAACTATTAAATTTAAATTAATATTAAAATTGTCTATTAAAATTAAAAGTGTCTATTAAAATTGTCAAAATCCACAAGGAGAAATCTACCACAAACAGAAGGCAGAAAACACTGTAAATACAAGATTAGACCTTGAGAATCTGAGGCAATAGAATTATAATCTGAAAAAAATGTTAACAAGGTAGTATTTAAAATAATTAAATATCTAATGAAAAATAGAAACCTTTATAAAAGTATAAGAGTCAGCCTGTAGAAATTTTAAAGAGTGTGACTGACAAACTTGATCTAACAGACATTTATAAAACTCTGTACCTAAGAATTAAAGAATATACATTATTAGGACTCACAGTCATCTTAAAAAATACCAAACAACAAATATCACATAACCATGCTCTCTCATCATAATACAATAAAAATAAAAATCTATAACAAGAGGATGACTGAGTGGTTCAGTCACTTGAGCTTCTGACTCCTGATTTGGGTTCAGGTCATGATCTCAAGATCAAGGGATCAAGCCTTGCATTGGGCTCCATGTTTAGTGTAGAGTCTACTTGCCCCATTCCATCCCACTCTATTTTCCCCCGTGTATGCACCCATGCTCACTCTCTCTCAAATAAATACATAAATAAAATATTTAGTGTCTGGCTGGCTCAGTTGGTAGAGCATGTGACTCTTGATCTCAGGCTTGTGAGTTTGAGCCCCATGTTAAGAGTAAAGATTACATTTTTAAAAATCTATAACCAAAAGATAACCCTTGAAACTCTCATATGTTTGGAAATAATTCATGGGTCTATTAAAACATTTTAATAAATAGTAGGAAATATTCTATTCCAAGTAAATGAAAATTCTATATATCAAAATGTGGGGGATGCAATTCAAGCAGCACTTACAGGTAATTTTATATCATACATATGTTAGAGCTTAAGACTGCTAAGCATCTGGCTCAAGGTTGGGAAAGGAACAAGAGAGTAAACTTTGATCAAAAACTGAATAATAGGGATGTCTGGGTGGCTCAGCAGTTGGGCGTCTGCCTTCGGCTCAGGGCATGATCCTGGGGTCCAGGGATCGAGTCCTGCATCAGGTTCCCTTCATGAAGCCTGCTTCTCTCTCTCTGCCTGTATCTCTGCCTCTCTCCCTCCGTGTCTCTCATGAATAAAACTTTTTTAAAAACCTGAATAATAAAAAAACTGATAATAAAAATTCTAAAGCTCATTACAAAAAATAGAATAAAAATGAAACAACAGAAAAATCAATAAAATCAACAGTTACTACTTAAAAAATGACTAAGGAAAAAAAACCTCTCAAGATAAGCAAAGAAACAGTGATTGGTTTAAAAATTACACACATGCCTATAAATGACCAAAAAATACATTTATAAAGGAAACTAATCACATTGCAGTGGAGATTTTCAGAAATCATTAGAAAATACCATGAATAACATCAGAATATTCAGATTAAAGTTATAATATTTTAGAAAATCATAATTTCCCAAAACTATCCAAGAAATGTATAAAATTTGAATGGTCCTATAATCAGTAAATAAAATGAATAGTTTAAAATTCATTCACACACAAGTACATATGTACACAGGCATACACATACACAAATATAGACACACACAAAAAAAAACCCAACCTCAAATGATTCCATGGGTAAGTTTTACCAAATATCACAGGAACAGATATTTTTGATCTTATTCAAATTGTTTCAGACACAGAAAAAGAGGAAATGCTCCCGCTCATTTTATGAGTGTCAGATTCTTAGATAACCCAGACAGGACAGTGTGAGAATCAAAAACCATTGGGTGATCTAATATAGGCACAGAGAATTTTTACAAACAGATTAGCAAATTAAGTTTAGTAACTTACCAAAATATCTTGACTGTATGTCAAGATTAGTAAGATTTAATGTTAGAAAATCTATTCACATAATCTACCTAATAATAAACCAAATAAGAGAAGTTACAGAAGCAAAAAAAAAGGCTATGATAAAATAAAAATAAATTCTTATTTTGAGGTAAAATTCTCAGTAGAAATAAAAGGGACTTCTTCTTACTACATAAAGAATATCTACCAAAAACAAAGAGCAAATATGAGAATTAATAGTGAAAAATTGGAATTTCTTGCTTAAAATAAGGAAAAATATAAGGACTTCAGGTATTATTGCTTCTATGCAAACTTGTACTGTCAATGTTAAAGCAGTAAGACTAGAAAAAGAAAATTTAAGATGTAATCATTGGAAAGAAAAAAGTCTGAACTCAGATAATAATGTTAACACAGAAAAGTCAAAAACATCTATAGACAAATTGATAGGACTAATAAGAATAGTCAATAAAATTGCTGGCACACAAACAATACCTAAAGTCCATAATGTTTTTTACACACTAGCAACAAATGTACAAAAAATGGGATTTTGAAAAATGCATGTCATAATACCAACAAAC